TGCAGACTCAAACCAATGACACAAGCCGAGAGAAACATGTTCATTAATTTCAGATTTCTGCACTTCTTTTGAGAAAAACACAACTTTATCCATTTTTAGCATTTGATCTTCCAGCATGTTCATTACATCATAAACAGAGACTGTACAGTAAGGTGTGGCATTATATTTTCATCCACTGGGTGACACTGTGACACAGGACTATATTTCTTAATCATTCTTCCAATTCACACACCTCTCCTCACACCTTCAGGTTCCCCCTGCTCAACGAACTCCACATATGAGTGTAACCTGTAGAACTGCAACTGTAAGTTAACAAAACAACATGTCCCATGTTAGAGACAGCACAGTACATACTGAATATATACCAGCGGACCACAAAAGCAAATGTATTATGGGGAATAATACTCAGTGATTTTTACAAAGTTAAACTAGACTGAGGCATCTCTTTTTCCACAAATGATACAAATACAAAACACGTGAGCACTCGCGCAAACGCTGCATATACTAACCTCACTCTTTCACACACACTCTCTCTGTCTCTCTCGCTCACGCACACACACACAGTAGCTGTTTCATCATATGAAATTAGGTCTAAGCTAGTGGTACATTTACATATATTTGTTTATATTCATAAATACGATTACAGTCGTATTATAATGTACATGTAAGTTTATCGTTACAGTATCACACCACGGACGCTCTTTCTGTAGCTTTAGGGAGGGAGGATGTTGAGAAGGAGGAGGTAATCTGATTGGCTGGCAGGACAGGAACACAATATTTTTGTGCAAAAAGTGTGACTGGAAGAATCAAGACACTTCTAAAGGCTTTCAGAGGTGCTAAATTGAAAGATGCTGTCATGCTCTTTTTTTTTAAAGACATTATTTTTGTATTTTAAAATTTAAGACACAAGGGTTTAATGATTGTTTGGATCGTGATGTTGATTAGATTGTAATTTTAGCTATTGCACTTTGTTTGATCCTCTGGTTTCCAACCATTTTTTTAACAAATAAAAAGGCCACTGTAGTATTTACTTCCTTCAATAAATGCAGCTCGATTTCAAGACTGATGAATCAGCCACTTAAACTGATTCACAGTTAAACTGTGACAATAACAGTTTTTAATTTTAATGGGGGAACATTTATTGTCTCACTGATATTTAAATAAGACTGATACCACTCTCATGTCTGTGCACCACTGCAAACACGAGTTATCTACAGTAATTCCCCTCCTGGCTACCTGCTTTCATTCATATTCACTTCAGCGTTTTGCTCTCTTTCACATTGATTTTAGATCTAAGCTGAGTTCAGAAAAGTTCCTCCCCCCTCCACCTATTATCAAAGCGTTTCCTCCCTGACATTTAAAGAGGAAGAAGACAAAAACGGGGGGAGAGCAGGAGAGGGGATGCCTGTTTCAGCTTTTAATGTGAAACAACAGTGAATCGTGGAGGCAGCTTTGGCCTTTCTGAGAAATACCGTTTGTGTCATAAGGTCTGCAATTACCGTCCTGATTATCCCGACTCCATGCTGCTACACTCGTTCCTCCTGCAGCTCAAATTGCTGGTCTCAGAAAAGGATGTTTTATATCAAGATGCATGTTTTTTTTTATTTCAGTCAGGACTATTTTAAAAAAAGATTATTCCCAAATAGAGTGATTTATATTTAGCAGTTGGGCTCTTTTCTCAGGATCTCCTATCCTTCCTCGCGCATTAGTGGAGAGGAGCAACAAGACCCTTGGTACAGAACAAAGCACACAACATTGACATGGCACTAGTGTTGGGCTAGAGGTGGGTTGCAACTTGCTGATGTAGCAGCAACAGTAAGCAAGCTAAAGGTACTTTAACAGCCAACAGAACATGCTAGATATTGTAGTTTCTGTCCATTATTAGACAAAATATTGCTCACAAACCAGACTTAACAAAATCTAACAGTGTTAAAATTAAACTTGTTAATGAAATAATGAATGAAAGAGCAGCTGAATCTTACAGCTGTTTTTCTCAGGGTGCTCTGACCCCATGTTTCCAAACTATTATTTATATCAAAGCAGACCCAAAAAGGTCCTGATTAAACAGGTAAGCAAAGATTTGGGATTTTTTTACTCTAAAAAACAAAAAAATACAAGAGGAAGTTCTTTTCTACAATGATTGTAGCCATTAAGAGTGATAATTACAGAGAAATATGCACCAAAAAAGAGCACATGCATATTTCTGACAGTAAAAAACCCTTGCCATCAGAGAGCTAATAGAAACCATAAAAATATCTTATATTTCTACACATGGTAGCAAATGGCAGGCTGATGTAACTGTCAGCTGTCAAGACATTATTGCATAAAATAATTATAAAGCAGGCCACGAAGGGAGCACCTGCTCAAAAAAGGTCTGATTATATTATCTGGAAGATAAAATTAAGTTTAACTTGATTATTAACCTTTTATGAAAAAATAATGTATGTTAACCTTTCTGATTACATATTGATTTTTTAAATCGAATGTGGAAAACTTTTAGACGCAGCCACAAGTCACTGAGCAGTACATCAGTATGCCTCACCATGCTGAGACTCAAATCACCTCCCTGCCTCATATTTAAAGAGTAAAGCTTGTGGACACTGTGCTCTAATGTGTTACAACTGCCATATAACTGGCTGTGTGTTTGGCTGTCAAAGGACTAATGATTGCTGCGGCACATTCATGCACAAACACCTGCAGACAGGGTGGTTTGACCTGGCTTTATGAAGTGTGTTTACTCTGAACAAACATATACTAGAATTCATATACACACGTAGAGACATCACAAAAGACAAACAACGGAGTACCTTTCATTTACACAACTCTCTCTCCCTCTAGCAACACATTACATCTTTCTTAATGTTCAACTGGTCCTTGTTGGTCTAATATAAGACAAAACAGCCCATAGAGTATATCATCTAAACATGGGCTGTTGAGCTGTTGGCAGAGCTTATACTTGGATCTAATTAGATATTAAAGCAACATTTTAATTTTTTCACCCACTTTCTTAACCACTTATCCAACTGAGGTTCGTGGGAGGACTAGAGTCTATTCCAGTTATCTTAGGGCACACCCTGCACATGTTGTTAGACTATTACGGAGCAAAAACATAGAGACAGACAACCAGTGACACTCACATTTGCACCTATGACCAACACAGAACAACCACTGACTGTGGGAGGAAGTCAGAGTACCTTAAGAGAAGCCACACAGGATGGCCCCAACAGGAGCGATGTGAAGTGCTAAGTACTGCATCACTATTCACACTGTGCTCATTTAATACCCTTCTAATGTCTCTAGGGTAAGCTGGGGCCATGCAACACTTAGCATAGCATAGCAAAAAGACTCAGGGGCAGTGTTGCCAACTTAGCGACTTTGTTGCTATATTTAGCAAGTTTTCAGACCCCCTTAGCGACTTTTTTCCAAAAAGCGACTAGCGACAAGTCTGGCGACTTTTTCTGGTGTTATTGGAGACTTATGACGACTTTTCCACGTGAAAGAACGTATCGCTCTTACTCTCAACAAGCAGCGGGTGCTGCCGTGGGCACCTCGCCTTTGGCGGCAGGTAGTCCTCACGCAGCAGTCCCCCTCAGCTGATGTCAGAGCAGGAGATATTCACCCCTACGCTACAAACTACAAATGAATCGCGCATGAGTGAAGCCGCTGCTTCCCCCCTGCCCCCTTCCCAGAGCGGCGGTAACTGTACATTTTTCTTAGGAATGATGTTTTGTAGTTCATTGATTTAAGAATCAATGCACTACAATAAATCCTTCCAATCATTGCAAACTTAGAATTCGAATGTTCTTGCAGAGCCTTAAGTCCATCTTGTACATCCATACAAGTAACACTTGGAAACCAAAGCTAGGTAGCCAGCTAACCACCTCTGTGTTAACCATTACTGCAGATTAAGTTATTCATGTTGTGTATTTGTGCTTGGGACCCAGCTAGTTAACTGTAGTTTGCTTGCTTACTAATATTGCCACTAGCAAAATAAGACACTTTAGTTTTTTGTTATCCTAATATGGAGTTTGTGTTGTATTCTATTTCGTTCTAAGAGTTGGTCATAAAACTGCAACCAGGCCAGCTGTTTCCCTGGTTATCAGTTTATATGCTATGCTAAGCTAGCATCTCTTGACTCTATAAGAGGTCGTGTCCAAATTCATGGACTGCATCCTCCTGAGGCCGCATTTGTAGGCCGATTACGTCACAGCGACACGACGAAGGCTGTCCAAAATCGTAGACTCCTCCGAATGCAGCTGACCAATGCGTCCACATTTTCCCCGAATTTGAAGGATGGGTCGGGTGTGTCCTTCGTGGCCCACCATATCCCAGAATTCATAGCAGCCAATTCGAGTTTTCAACAATGGCGGCCAGTACTAAGTTTTTAATCTTATTACTCTTTCTGGGTCACAAAATAAACTTTTAACATATTTTCAGGCGAGAATGTAGCTGTGTAAAACTTCAACTATCTGCTCGGTTTATCAGGATATCACATGTTTGCAAAAGTGCTCTGACGTTTTCGGAGACGTCTGTTACCCACCACCTCGATAGCTAGCCGGGAACTCGAGGGTCACTGAAGCCGCCGAGAACGACAAAATCCCGGCACATCATTTTCAGATCACCGCGGTCTTTTGCTACTCAGGTTAAACGTAATATATAAGTCACTTAGACAACCTAAAAATTTTATTGTTTGCCTTTTTTCAGTGTTTTATTTGTTCGTGAGTAAATCGGTTTGTCTGAGATTAACGTTATTAGATTAGATTAGATAAGAAAAAACTTTTTTTAATTCCCCGGGTGGTTTTCACACAGCTGAATAAACGTCAAACAGAAAACCGATTAAACAGAAGTGTGAGAAGGTCGAGAATTTACACCAGTGTCCTGTTATATTTTAGATAGGAAGGAGCAGACAGCTGAGTTTATTAAACTCCACCGAGACAGCGGTGACGCAAATCTGAAGGCTAGACCGTCCAATTTTACGTTTACTTCCGGCCTACCTGACCTTCTGAGGACCCGGCCCACGTAGACTGTGAAGGCCGGGTCCTCAGGAGGATGCAGCCCATGAATTTGGACACATCTATAGTGATGTCAATATTATTAGTTAGCTTACATAATTTGGAAGTAAGCTACTTTACATTTACATGTTGTAAGTCTTGAAAACAGTGTACATGTTACACAAATAAAAAAGCAGATTAAAAAAAGATGTGATCTTTATACTTCAGTTGTGTTGCAGCCTTGTAATATCGCACACTAGGCACAGAGCCTGACAGCATGAACATCTGAGTGAGACTATTTCCTATGTAAATCTGTATTTTATTTCTTTGATCTGCGCTAAACAGAGCTGGAGGGATTTCCACTTTCCACAGATCGGGCTGAATTTATAAAGACGCTCAGCTGGACTGAAGCAGAAGTGCTTCAGGAGAGCTGCACAGCAGGGCAGCCCGGATAAAAGAATGGCATCAATCAGGGGGTCCGTGTTCCAAACATGGCTTATTTCCAGACATCACTACCTCAGAGAAAGGGAGAAAGAAAGATTCCCTGCCTCTCTCCTTCTCCTCCTCCTCTCTCTAGCAGCATCCCTCCCTTTCTCCTCCTGCTTCACTGTTCTCTCAGCCTCCTTCCTTCTCTAAATTCAGTTCAACTCTATTACCCTTGCTCTGTTTCTCCACCCCTCCCAGTCTACTTCTGCATGTCACACTGCAGCAGTAGGACAATGGAAGGGTCGGATTTGGCCGCCTCTTTAAACTCTTCCAAGGTGATCTCATCGTTCTGGTCCTTGTCCATCTTGGAGAAGATCTTGTCTACACGCTGCTGAGGGGTAAGCCCGTCCTCGTTCATACGCATCATGATCACTGTGCCTACCATCTTGTAGATGGCCTGCAGAGGGCAAAAAAGGGGAAATAATGCTCGATTTTGCCTTAAATACAATTAACAGTTTATTTTTAACACAGACACACCTCGATGATCTCCAGCATCTCCATGCGTGTGATCTTTCCATCTCCATCTAGATCGTACATGTTGAAGGCCCAGTTGAGTTTCTGCTCAAAGCTACCCCTGGAGGTGATGGACAGGGCGCAAATGAACTCTCTGAAGTCGATGGTCCCATCGCCATTTTTGTCAAACGTCCGAAACGCATGTTGAGCAAACTTGGAAGCATCACCATATGGGAAAAACTGCAGTTTAAAAATGAGAAAAACAAAAGTTTGCAATGAGACATTTGTGGCATTGGCCACTTTAGGTTCAACTGTTGACTGTTGAAGTATATACTATCCTTGATGAATAAACAAATGCAGTACAGCATGGGTGCTGAAGATCATTAATGTTACTTTAGGGTAGAGTAGCATTCATCTCTCAACCAGTACTGGTACTGGTATATTCTCTTCGGTACCAGTACCAAATGATACCCCTTTTTTTCTACACTGTACTTGCTCTGAAAACAACGGTGACAGTGTCAGGTGACAAAAGCTTACCCATCATGTAATTTGCAATTGACTGATTTAATCTCACTGTTTACTTGGTAGAACCAATATGTTCAGTACCCTAAAAAATACCTAAAGGTTTAACCAACCCTACATTCCTCACTTTAGTTTTACATTATTTTAATGTTTAAAATCATGCTTTTTTTTTTTTTTTTAAATTTCAATAAATAAATTTGCTGTAAAATTTTGTATTTGTGTATATTTTTGGACACAGACTCATCTTTTTGAGCTTTAGCCAGTGCTGTGTATAAAACATTAAAAGTACTAGCATGTTACTTTTACGGACTAATGCCAAAGTAATGTAACAACTTTCTCCAACAAGTAAATAAGCAACATTAGGGCTGTGCGATATGACCAAAATCTCATATCCCCATATAAGAATTCTATTGTCCCAATAACGATATAAATCACAAAAATGCAACATTTTCTGTAAATTATGTGAATATCGGGCAGCTCGACTTGCGGGAAGTGTTTCCAGCTGCGCGTCGTGTACCTGGAGTCGAGTGTTTTAACCGATGCATGAAACTATACATTTTTAGACATAAGCTGTAACGCCCGCCGTTTTCTTTGTGAGTATTTATTACACGGCGTGCTGCAGGGAAAAGCCTGTTCTAACGTTTGAGTTTAAGGTTTATTTTTTAGCACCTGGCGGCTCTTTTTTACTTATCATCCGTAAATAATCTGCTCTTTCACGTGATTCTGTTTATTTTGAAAAGTCTCAACAGGATCTTGAGCTTTATTGTGAAAGGTTTATGTGGAACATAAACAAGCGGACACACGATGCTGTTACCGTCGTTGTTGCTAACCACAATGCATAAAACAGGCGCTTGTCTGTCAGTAGTGTGGTTATATTAAATATAAGAGAAAGAGAGAAAGAATAAATTAATATAGCCACTACAGTGACCATCAAAAGGATGAAAAAATGTTGCCGTAAACCGTTTATTTTGCGACACCACGAAACAAACGATAACATTAAATGAAACGATAGACATTTTTATATCGTCATCCGATATATATCGTTATATCAAACAGCCCTAAGCAACATACTGCATTACCTTTGAGAAAAGTAATAAGTCACATCAAATACATGACTTTTTTTGGGTAACAAGGCCAACATTGTTTTAGCTATATACCGAAACCTATTTAAGTTAAAGGTAGATCATGAATGTGGGCTTAAAAGCACATCTCAATGAGTAAACTCATTCAAAGTCTGTTACATAGACAGATTTGGGCTATGATGATAGTGTAGTACTTTTGTCTGGACGCCACTGCTGTAATCAAATGCACTCTCAGCATAAGTAAAACAGACATCCCTAAAGCTCCATAACAAGACAAGTCCATCAGAGAGACAGCAGGGAGATTAGGAGTGGGTAAATCTCTAGTGTGGAGTATCCTGGGTGCAGTAAAACCACCATGATAAAATAATGTAAAGTGCAAGTGCTGGACATCCACAGAAGACAAACTTTATGGAGAGCCACAGGATCCTTCCAAGTGAAGAAAAGTATATTTTGTTCACTTCTTGTTTTTTTTCAGTCGTGTTCATTTAAGTTAGGAGGTTGATGTGGTACAATCTGTAAGTGCCAATACCAAAGCTAAAATTCAGCCAAATGCAGCAGAATTAATAAGGTGTCACCTCACAGTAATGACCCTTTGACAGCGATTCAAACAAACTGGATGAAACCCACGAGTGTTTGAAGGTAAAGGAGTTGAATATTTTGCAGCGGTCAAAAGAGTCACCTAAACTCAACCTGATCTCAGCCATAAATTTAAATTACTGAAGACAAAAGTCACAGAGCCCCAAATATACAGTTAATGCAATACTTCTGTTCAACAGCTCAAACCTGAAGTCTGCACTCAACCCCTCATATACATAAAACTCTTAATATGTTTCACTAAACTGCTAAAATAACAACTGTCAGTGTATAAATACATAGACTAAACTGTACATCAAACTAACATACTGAGCAGCAATTACAGCTCTGCTTTTAAGCATTAATTGCTTGAAAATTAGCCTCATTTCTTTTTTTTTTCTTTGGCCACGTACACACAAAGTGCAATTTGCAAATACAGCATTTACCTTTCCAGCACTGACTAAGAACAAAATATTTTTTAAAGGATGTCGGTAGCTGGCTGTAAGAGACCCACGGAAGACCTGTTAGCAATGACACGCTGCTTATTAAAGGATTTTTTTCCTCCTTCTGCCAGCAGAACTTTGGAGAGATTATCCGTACAAACTGCAGTTGTTTTCTGTGCCCTTTAAAATCGAGTGGGAGTGAATGAGCCTGAGAGGATATGCAAAATTGATTTAAAAATATCTTTTCCCCATCCAACCAATGAAAAATCAGCAGGCCTCTTTGCGGCACTGTGGCATTTTGAAAGCTCCAAATATTTTTGGAGGCAGTTTTAGGCAGCAACAGAGGCATTAATACAGGCTCCTCCTCCTTTATGTGCACTCAACAATTGATTAGTCAGCCTCAGTAACAAAGGCTTTCTATGTAACAGCACAACAATGCTATGAGTCATCTCAGATGTAACTTTTTTTCTTTATATAACTATGGGGAGAGAATGAGGAGGCAATGCTTGAGACGGCTTACTCTCACCTTGACATAGAGCTGCTGAAACTCCTCCAGGTTCAGAATGCCAGAAGGACAGTCTTTAAGGAAGCCCTTGTACCACTGCTTGAGCTCTGCCTCATTGAATTCAGTGCTCTTGGTCAGGTCATCCAGGACCTCTGGAGCCAGCTTGCTGTTGTGTTTCCCCATGATGCTTCACCTCTGTTGAAGAGAAGCAGAGAGAGAGAGAGAGCGGGAGGGTGACCACACAGGTGATGCAGAAACAACAGCAATAGCAGTGATGCCCCTGAGCACTTGCAACAAGCTCGGTCTCTGAGGATGGATGCAAACGAGGAATTACTTACACACAGCCAAACTCGGAGAAAGCCCTGCTGCCTTCCTGTGGCTTTGCCTGTCAACATAAATCATCTTAGCATGGCGCTCTGTCACACAGTAATCGTTTATTTATATTCCTCTTGCTTAAAAAGTTTATCATTATTTTTTAAGACAATTTGATCCCATTCATCTTAGTGTGTCTTACTATCTAAATATTTATATTATTCCTGTTTGGTTTTAGATTTAATGCTTTGGAACTTCTGCTTTTAGTTTATATCAATGACGTTTAATACTCTGACTTAAGTTTAGATCAGAAGCCCTGTGAAGACAGATTTTGGCTTATCCAGATAACTTTACAGTTAATGCTACGAAGGTGGTTCAGTTCTAATCAGGATAATTTGCCATGGTAATTTATGCTGTGAACCTAACCTGCTCTAGAGCAGATCTAGATTAGGGATCAACATGTATGAAATCACTGACTGATGACCAATCAATTCTCCAGAAAATAGCGTCACCATTCCTGGTAGACTCCTCAGACCTTTATGCATGAACGGTAAGAAGGTCTAAAGTTCTTAATATCGTGTTTCCCTCATAAGCATCAGAAATAAATGTTGGCACCAAACAATTTTACAACAATTTTAATGTTATATAAGCCTTAATATCTGATCCTAAAACAGAACACCTACACTATATTTGCTCACCTTATATGACATTTGTATTATCAGTTAATCACCAGATTAACTGAAGAACTGTGGCATTTATTTCATCCTTTTTACACCCGTCTTGCATTTTACTTGAATATTTGAGCTGATAACCAGCTTCGTGCGACCACTTGATCACACGACTCCCGACTCCTGATCACCAGTGTTAGGTTAAGTAAATCTAGATAACAGAAATGTACCCTGAATAAAATCACTGCATAGTATAGGGCACATGTACTGAAGTAATAAGGCAATTCAGTGTTGTACAGGCGGTAAATCAACAAAAAAAGCCCCAAGGCTCTGCTTTGGGACCACTGCAGTTTACTGTTAATTAGTGCTCTCCCAATATTACTATTACAACCCAATATTGCGGTAAAGCATGTAATACACATGGCAGTCCATAGTGTCCACACTTTGCCTGTCCAAAGTGTTACATGTACCCGCATGCAGAAGTTGCAGGAAGCTGCAGTAACAGCAGAGGGATTTACAAGTATATGCATTTAAGCACCTAGCTTAACCATTTCTGCTCACTACCAACTTCTTGGCTTTAACCTCCTAAGACCCGAACTCTTCCACGGCATGCATCTTTTATTTCTCTTTGATATGAATGTAAAAACAAAGAATGACCAGATTGACCAGATTTTTTTTTTTTACCTGATTTTTGTTTTTTAGAAAAATGAGAGCCACATATGAGGATAGTCGTTTAAAATTTCGATAGAACAGTAGCAGTATATTGTCCTCGTAAGTGGATATCAGGCCCTTGTAGAGCAAAATTGAGTATTTTGGTCTAAATAACCCAAAATGTGATGTCCACATATGTGGACACCATGTCCTAGGAGGTTAAATATATTATCTCCCCCTGATGGTAATCCAAGTTCTTCATGCAGTAATGCAAGTTCTGCATGCATGTCTATTACCTGTTCTGCAGTGATACTGGGTTGGCTATTATGTTTATATCCTGAATTAAAAAGAAGATTTTATTAAATTTGTAGTCAATCTAACCACTTGCAGCTGTCATTTATTCTAGCCTCAATTGAGCTGCTGAAATTTAATGCTAACAATAAAGCAACAGAGATTTGCACAATATATGTGTGTATATGTGACTTTAGCACTTAGTTCTAGCACTCTTAGGAAACATGCAGCAGATGGACTCGTTTATATGCCGCTATAAAGAGTTCAAAGAGGTTGCAGACCAAACAAGGACTACCAGCAGCAGTCCAAGTGTGGAGTTAAAATCCGTGGAGACCCACTTAAGAGGTAGCTAATTATGTTGCTGTTTAATCTATTTGTCGCAAAGTACTTGGCATGACAGCATCTCCACTATATTGGCCATAAAATGGCCCATTACTCCCATCACCGAGCACATATTCACACCACAGAGGACCACTGCAGTGCCTTCATGACGCCATTCCTGACTCATGGCCCTGTCTGACAGTTTTCACACTCTGGCACCAGGACACAGCCAATACTGCCACAGCCAAGTGGCCACAAAATCCTCAGAGTGTGAGGTCAGTGTAATGGCTGAAATATCATCCTGTCTTACTTTATAGCAGTGAGTCATACAGGAAGAGGCCGCTGAACCCCAAATCACTGCAAACTGCAGAAATATTTTAGACTCTGCATAGCTGTGACAAGGTGAAAGTGCTGTAGTGCAGAGAAAAAGTAATTAGGGACTTCAATAGGTGACAGGTTGTTTTAGCATTACCCCGCTTTGAAAAGGGTGGCTGTCATCTTAGCAGGTTAAAAAGCAAAAAGGAATTCTCTTAACAGCTGTCAAAGAGAAAAGGAAGGCTGTAAAAAGGATTCATTATTGTAGGAGCAATTGAAGACACTGAGGTGTTATCACAACCTTTTACTGCTCCTCTGTACATATACTCAGCAATGCAGACACCTTTGACTTTTTTAGTTTAGAGTTGCTTTAACCTTTAGACTACAACGCCAATTTCACCAAAATTGGGACAGTGTATGAAATGTAAACTCTCATAAACCTGTGTTTCATTTACACAGAATGTAGAAAACATACTGAAAAAAGACTTTTAAAGAAAGTATGAGGTCATTTTGAGTTTGAATGGAGCAACGTGTCTAAGGGCCACCATGTAGCATTCTCTCTTTTATTAACAGTACATAAACATCTGGGAACCGAGGACAGCAGCTGCTGGACTTTTGAAATTTTGCTCTGTCCTGATTTCTAGCTGCTCCACAGTCCTGGGTCACATTTTAACTTATTTTGCATTTCGCAATTCTCAAATTGTTTTCAATCTGAAACCTCTGGACTGCAGGCAGTTCAGCACCACTGCCTGCAGTCTCAGTGGCTCTTCTACTATAATGCCATGCTGTTGTAAGTGATGCAGTATGCAGTTCAGCATTGTGTTGCTGAAATATACAAGGCCTTCTCTGAAAAAAGGGTCATCTCAGTGAGAGCATGTTTAGTATTTAGTATTTAGTATTTAGTATTTATTTATTTATTGTCATTGTCAAGAACAATGAAATTGCGTTTGGGGCTTCCATACAACCCAAAAAAAAGAAGAAAATAATAAATACCCCTTAAAACCCAAGTGTACATATTTAACCCAGTGTGACTCCAATGCAATAAGACAATCCTTAGCAATAATGTTCGTAGAAATTCAGACAAAGACCTGAGAAACATGACAAAATACAACAATGCAACCCATTCAATATTATTGTACTGTGAGATATGATATCAGATATGATAGTTATCTATTTAAGAAAGAGGGGGGGGGGGGCAGGAGGGGGAAGAGAATAAAGATATGATGCACCAATGCAGACCAGTTCATTGCTATTAAGAAGTTGGATATGGTTATTGTCCGTGAGAGGGGGGCAGAGAGTTCAGGAGCCTCACAGCCTGTGGATACAGGCTGTTGGCCAGTCTGGATGTTCTGGCCTGTATAGACCTGTACCTTCTCCCTGAGGGCAGCAGATGGAAAAGGTGGCGCGCAGGGTGATGTTGGTCCCGCAGGATACTGTGCACCCTCCTCAGACAGCGAGTGGGGAAGATATTACTGATCTCTGGCAGACTTGTTTCAATAATTCTGCCAGCTTCTTTCACCACCCGCTGGAGTGCTTGCTGATCGGCCTTGGTGCAGCTGGGGAACCACACTAGAAATCCATACGTCAGAACGCTGCTGATGGCACAGTTGTAGAAGTTCAACATCAGAGATCTGGGAATGTGTGCGCTCCGCAGTCTCCTCAGGTAGTAGAGGCGCTGTTGGGCCTTCCGTACAACTGAGGTGATATGGTTGCCCCAGGACAGGTCCTCGGTCACAGTTACCCCCAAGAATTTAAAACTGCTTACCCTCTCCACCGCCTCACTGCCAATGAAGAGAGGCAGATGGTTGTTATGGCCCCTCTTCCGGAAATCTACAATGATCTCCTTGGTCTTTTTGGTGTTTAAGACCAAGTTATTGTCGTGGCACCATGACTCTAGTTGTTGCACCTCTGTCCTATAGTTTGTCTCATCATTGTTGGATATAAGTCCGAGCACTGTAGTGTCATCTGCAAACTTAACAATGAGATTGGACGCGCAGGAGGAAATACAGTCATGGGTGAAGAGAGTGTATAGCAGAGGGCTCAGAACACACCCCTGAGGGGCACCGGTGTTGACCACAAGGGTGGAAGAGGTGTTCTTACCCACTCTGACACTCTGTCTACGGTTAGTGAGGAAGTCCACAATCCAGTTGCACAGAGAGGAGTTAAGTCCCAGTTGGTGGAGTTTGGGACGGAGTTTGTATGGCCGGATGGTATTAAAAGCCGAGCTGTAGTCTACAAAGAGGAGCCGTGCATAGGTGTTCCTGTGTTCCAAGTGCTTCAGTAATGTGTGCAGCACTGTGGCGATCGCATCCTCGGTTGACCGGTTCTCCCTGTATGCAAACTGGTGCGAGTCCAGGGATGGTGGAAAAGCAGCTCTGATGTGTTTAATGACCAGTCTCTCCAGGCATTTGGCGGGAATGGGGGTGAGTGCCACAGGTCTGAAATCGTTCAGACATGTGACATTTGACTGTTTTGGGATGGGAACGATGGTTGCTGCTTTGAAACAGGATGGTACCAGTGAACAGGACAACGAGGTGTTATATATAGAGGTGAAGACGTCCGCCAGGTCCGCAGCACAGTCTTTTAGCACCCGGCCCAGCACTCCATCCGGCCCGGCCGCCTTCCTGGTGTTAATGC